TAAAAGAAGACCCTACTTCCATTATTTAGCTTAATAATATCAAAGATGGGACCATAGGCATTTGTATTCTTCTCCAATCATTCTATCACTTATTTATGACATTAGTATTCATATATCTGGGCTACTAGCCATGTGGGTTACCCTCCAGTGGGTCTAGGATGCCATTCTAGAATAATTGCTATTTTTAGTAGGTTAGGCCCAAAATAACATTTAGGTTGTCCGACCGTTCTTACTTTGTATCGAGGGTTATATATCATTATTTAAGAATGTTGGGACCCAATATCAATAAGATGGCCCAATTAATTATTTGGAAGTCCATTACTATTATACGAGCCCAAATAGTAATATGATTAATCACACGTTACGTAAAACTTTAATCGTTTTACAATTGTTCGATAATAGGGAAATTCAATACATAAGCTTTGGAATTTAATTTGAATTTCAAGGACGTTCTAATGCGGTGTCACAAGTTCACCCCCCCTTAAGAGGAATTTTGTCCCTGAAATTCACAATGCTACTCAAATAGGAAAGCGTATTGCTCCCTCATCAAAGCTTCCGTTTCCCAAGTCTCTTCTTCAACTCGGTCACTTTTCTAAAGGACTTTAACCATTGGAACTTCTTTACTCCTCAAATTCTTTACCCTTCTATCAGTGATCTTGACCGGTTGTACGGCGTAGTTCAAATCCTCACGTATTTCCACCGGCGACTTTTCTAATAAATGAGAAGAATCATGTACATACTTCTTCAGCATAGATACGTGGAACACATTGTGTATCTTCTCTAACTCTGGAGTCAACTGTAGATGATATGCTACACCCCCCATTCTCTCCAGAATTCTGAATGGCCCTATGTAGCGTGGATTAAGCTTCCCTCGGCTTTGGAATCGAATGATTCCTTTCCGAGGAGAAACTTTCAGGAATACCTCGTCATCGACCTTAAACTCTAAGGTTCTCCGACGCTTATCTGCATAACTCTTCTGTCTATCCTGATTCGCCTTGAGTCTCTCTCGAATCAACTTCACCTTTGACTTGGTGATCTCAACCAACTCAGTACCTTCGAGTTTGGCCATGCCAACCTCATCCCAGCATAAAGGTGTACGACACCTCCTCCCATACAATGCTTCGTATGGAGGCATGCCGATACTTGCCTGATAACTGTTGTTATAGGCAAACTTCACAAGTGCTAAGTGATTGACCCAACTTCCTTGGAACTCCAATGCACAGGCCCTTAGCATATCTTCTAAGATATGTATAACCCTTTCAGACTGCCCATCCATATGTGGATGGAATGCAGTACTGAACTTCAACTTCGTTCCCATAGACTCTTGAAATTTAGGCCAAAAAATTGATGTGAATCGTGGGTCTCTATCGGACACAATGGTCACCGGAACACCATGTAACCTCACGATCTCGTCCGTATACAATTTGGTTAACCTCTCGAGTGGGTAGGTGGTGTTGATAGGTAAGAAGTGTGCACTCTTCGTGAGCCTATCAACAACAACCCAAACTGCGTCGTAGTTCCTGACCGTCCGTGGTAAGCCTACCACGAAGTCCATAGTCACATGTTCTCACTTCCATTCAGGGATGGCAAGTGGCTGCAATAAGCCCGTTGGATGCTGATGTTCTGCTCAATTTCCGGTTTTTTAAAATTATCTATTTGATGCGGTTCCAAACCACAGTAAATAGCTTTTCTCACTATTTGCATCGCTGCCAATTGGTGTGGTTCAGAACCGCAACAAACAGCATTTTTTTCCTAGTAGTGGAGAGATCTATGTGGGTCTACTTACAATGGGGGTGTTGGTATAAGGTCCCTAATTGAAATTCAAAATGTTTCAGTCATGATACGTTGGTGGGAATTTCAGAAAGGTAGGACTATATGGGCTGAGTTGACGTGAGTAAATATGGGAAGCATATTATCCTGGGGGAGGTAAAGCCTACTGATTCTTCGACTTGGAGAAGAATCTGCCTAATCGATGAGGAGGGTGAACAAATGATTGGGACAACTAAAGAATCTGCACAAGAATAACCCGGACTCGCATAACCCACCCGGCTCAACGTTACCCGACCCTATTTTATCGGGTATTTGATTTTAAAAAATATTCATGAGTTAAATATACTTGAACCCGCACATAATGGGTAGGGCTGCGGGATTAAAATCTCAAACCCAATAGTAACCCAATTAAAATCTCGTAAAGGTTCTAATAAATACTACCTCTATCTCGAAAAGGTTCATCATATTGATTTTTCTAGATCAATAATATCAAACATTGATATAAATTCTTATTAATTCTTATTTCTGTATATAATTTATAAATTTACCCTTTTTTGGAAGAATTTGGCTTATATTGATAACAAATAATTCAGAGTATGGGTCAAATGACAAAAAGAAATCTGTCAACCGTTATCCTGCGAACCAGACTCGGAATTAATCGTCGTAGCAATATAATTCGCCGATCCATAAAAGGGAAATCAAAAGCAAAAAACGGTCACCATATTCCTCGCACCCCCCATATCCAAAATCAACGTCTTACAAACTGGAAGATGAACGAAAAAACAAACACCCAAACAGAAACAACCATTTCTGAAATAACAAAAAAACAAAAAAAACACATCCGTCGCAGGCAGATGATTCAAACTAGGGGTGGACTCGGGTCCAGGCCGGGTCCGGGTCGGGCCTAGGCCCGGGCGGGCCGGCGGTTCAGGAATGGTGGGCCCGGGACCGGCCCGGGTAGCCACCGGGTCCGGTCCGGTCCGGGTCCTGGCCGGGCCGGGTCAGGCCTCCGGTTTGGATTTTTTTTTTTTGCTTTCGTAACCCCCCCCCCCCCCCTCACCCCGCCCCACCCTCCCAAACCCCCCCAAACCCATCCTACCCATCAAGCCCAACCCGGGTGGAACCCCAAAAATGAAAAAAAAAATAAAAAAAAATCAATTTGGCCCGAGCCCAGGCCCGACCCGGCCGGCCCGGTTCACCAAATTTGAGACCCGAGCCCGGACCCACCCTACCCCCCCGGACCCGGACCCGAGAATCGGGCCGGTCCCGCACAGTAGCGGGCCTAGCCGATCCACGGGCCGGGTGGCCCGACCCGAGTCCAACCATAATTCAAACCATCCCTCTTACATGCGGCCTCCAAACTTCAGTCAGCAGCTTAGGCGGGCTTAAGGAGCAAAGCCCGTCTCCTCCCCGTTTTTTGTCCCATCCAGAGCCATGGTGTCCTCCACTTGTTCCTTCTATGTCTGAGTCTCCCATATCTTCCTTCTCTTAGAAGTCTCCTCTTTTAGCTCCTCCCCTTCTTATGTAAAGCTTTGGGCTGATTCAGTCATTGACACTTTCTCCTTCTCAACTGTTTTTCCTTCTGATTTAAACGCTCTTGTATCTCCACCCATTCTGCCATAGCTCGATGAACCCTCCAAGAGCCAATTATGAACTTTTGTAGGGCTGGTCTTCACCCCGCTCTCTGCTCTAAGATGGACTCCAAACCTTTATTCTAAAACTAAGCCTTCCTCATAATTTAAGGGACAAAAATTATCTGAATGTCCAATCAAGCCACAAATAAAGCAAAAGTTGGGTAATCTTTCATATTTAAAATGTACCCAAAAACTTTTACCATCTTTTTTCAAATTTGTCCTCTTCTTCAGCGATTTATCCATCTTCATAAGAACGCTAACCCTCATATATGGCTCTAATCTATCCTTCTTCTGGTTATCATCATATTTAATAAATTCCCCTATGAAATTACCCACACGCCTGGCAGTACCCAGATTAACAAGACTATAGGGAACATTATGAATCTAGACCCAAAACTCGATCTCGTTTAATATAATTTTGTGTGGGATACCATACGGTGTAACTTCTTTTAACATTAACTGACTACGTTCAAACTGCCAACGACCTCCTTCAAGCACACACTTCATATCAAAGCGATGATTAAACGAAAACAAGTACCTTTTTGGCCAATTTCTTTCACTGACATACCTTACCCCGACCTCCAAAGCGTAAGCATCGTCTCCTTGAGATCGGGGAATTTGACCTTGCGGTCTGTCAGCACCTGGCTGATCACTGGGAAACTCGTCGCCACTTCCTCCGCCAGACTTCCTTCAACCCCACTTTCAACGAGATTTATCTCTTCTTCGTCATCACCAATCGCCATCTGCTTGTAACGATCAACAAAGCTTTCCATATGCCTTCTGTAATCCTCCGCCAAAGACCTTGCCGTTGCTATCAATCGATAGCCTGAACACGTTGTACCTCTCCAAAGCTTCTGAATAGCCTGACTATATAGCCAAGATCACCACCCTCTCTACCAATCCGAATTCCGAAATAGTGGTGGACTTGGTGCCAGATGGCCCACCCCAGAACCGGCCTGGGACTATTCTGGCCCAACACGAACCGGTGGCTCGGTCAGTGAACGGTCTGGGTAGGCCCGACCCGAGAGGTTTCGGGTCCGAGCTCGGGTCACCTAAAACATGAACCAGTCCAGCCGGTCCATGCCCGAATCCGGGCATTTTTTTCATTTTTTTAAATCCCCAAGTTGAGATCGGTATTTTGGGCCATTTGGGGTGGTTTGGGATAATTAGAAAAGGGGTTAGGGGGTAATTAGAAATTGAGGTGGAGGGGGTTGTAAGAGGCCCAACCCAAACCCGGTGGCTACCCAAGCCTGTCCCGAGCCCACCTATTCAGAACCGGCGGCCCACCCAGGCCTATGCACGAACCAGCACAAGTCCACCACCCGAAACACCCACCACTCAAAACCTCCAACAACAACACCCTAGACAACCAATAAACTTGCCCTTCGATACGATCGAAGGCGAACAGACCAAGGCTAAGAGTTATCAACCGATAAGCAGAGAAAAACTATATTATTTATAGTGGTTGAATCGTTGTTTACAAAAAAATAGTTCTTTCTTGCTATCTTAATTCTATCTTTATTTATAAATTTAGACTTATGAAAATACCTTAAATAACAAACATTTTAATATTCAAAATATTTTGTAAAGTTGGTTGTTATGAACCAAGAAAAAGGAACCTTTTAAAACAAAGAGTAATAAATTGGAACTTAAAATGCACAAACCAGGCCAGGAACAGATCCAAACCAGACGGTTACCGAAGACGAGGCCAAGACCCATAATATCTAGATCAGATCTGGGCCTCCAAATGTTAGAACCGATCAGTCTCGGATCCCAGATCTATCCCTACTTCACAATTCAGAACAGCGCTGAAGTTATCCATGAAGAGTGACATCGACACAAGTAGTCATGACAAAATTAATAATTTTACCTATTTCAACTTTCAAGGAAAGCACACCAACTCATGGTTTTAGATAATAAAAACGTACATGACAAAAAATAATACAAAAAACGTCACAATATCACAGTTACGGTAACTAGTGTCCTCATAGTAACTCTAAAGTGAGCAAGCCATTGTCAACACTTCGTACAGACCGCTACTCTGTCCCTTAATCATCCCCGAATGTTGTTTTCTTGCCTGCATTGTTAAACATCATAAGTAAAGCAAAAAACGGTATTTCAATCATTAAAATAAAATGAACAAAATAATCTTCCTGGTACTGAGGAACTAATAATAATAAGAATAAGAATAAGAATAAGAATAAGAATAAGAATAAGAATAAGAATAAGAATAACAATAACAATAACAATAACAATAACAATAACAATAACAATAACAATAACAATAACAATAACAATAACAATAACAATAACAATAACAATAACAATAAGAATAATACCAGTAGGAGTAAAACTTGAACTGCTACGGCCACGACCCCCTCCCCTTCCACCAAAACCCCCATCACGACCACCCCTTCCACCACTGCTAAACCTGCCTCGACCACGATCACGTCCTCCACCTCCTCTGCCTCTACCACTATCACGTCCTCCACGACCTCTTCCAGCCCCACTTTCACCTCTTGGCTTTGCTTCATCCACGTACAAGGTGTTATTTCCAATTTGGGAGTTGTTGAGTTCGAGAGCCTTGGTGAGAGCATCACTGTCTCCAAAAGTGATATACGCAATCCTACACATGAACACAAAATTAATATCAGCCAAACCAAATTCCATATCTGAAACCTAGATAGAAATAACAAGGAAATGCAGAGTAAAGAAAATCGGGAAAACAACTTTAAGGAAACCTGGAAGGGAAGAAAATGCAGAAAAAAAATGCTTGGGACCTTTTCCTACAGAGTTTTTATTTTCAAGATTTGCTTTTTCTTTAATTACACCATATATCCCAAACATAATGACCCTTTCACTGTTGGCACAAAGTTTAATCAAACGTAGACATAAATAGAACCATTGCAGTTTAATCTTGGATGTAAACTTGAAATATACGGATGTGTGAAAAAGAGTGGCCAAACATATGCTTAAATAATTGAGATTTGACTCCAAGCACTAGTTAATTTCGCACATACCCTTTAACATAACCATCTGGGTCTGTCGGAAGTCTAGTGCTTTTAATGTCTCCACAAGAGCCAAAATGACCTTCCAGGGTACTCCTAATCTGCAAATTGTACACAGAATCTCCATTAGACATGACCCTAGTCGAGCACTAGTGAGAATCAAGAGACATGAAAAAGGAATTTTAGGCACCTTGTCTTCATCATCATTTGTGTCAAACCCCCTCACAAAAATAGTTGAACCTTCATCTCTATCCTGCTTCTGGTAAGAACTATCACGCTTCCTGCAGTGAAATGAGCAAAACATTACTAAACCATGCAGCAATCACACTTTAACTGATCCTAGTGAGGCAAGGTCACATACCCACTGCCATATTCACTATTGGGGGTATAAGCTCCTCTCTCTTTTGCAAGGTCAAGTCTTACATCACGTCCCAACAATGGTTGTCCATTAAGTTCAAGAGCCTTGACACACATGGCATCAAACATCAAATTGACTAATAATAGCATATAACAGATATTACTAATTTACTTTAGTCAAGAGAACTGGAGTAAAAGGAGTAACATCAATAGCAGACATTTAAAATAATATAGTAAAATAATGACTGTTAATGATGATTAATTCTTTAATCTTTTATTTTGTTGTTTAACTGAAGTGGTTAATATGTGCAAAAAAGAGGTGGAGGAGGAGAGGAAAACCCAAACATAAATGAATTAGTGTTCAAGAATAATTTGGTATTCCTTGGGTTGGTTGAGAGCAAGAAATTTGAGAAAGTGAAGTGGAGGGAAAATATACGTGTTGATTCATGTTAGCCAACCCCAAACTCTTTCGGAACTAGTATTTGGTTGTTGTAAACTAAAGTATACTGCGTATCATTTTAGCTTCTTATCAATTCTCTTAACACATTGCATAAAATTAGTTTCATTTGATCAAATAGTTCACCTTACAGGACAACAGATCACAAGTTATTATTTTGAAAAAATTCTTGTCTACACAAAAGGGTTAAACAGTGAGCCCAGTATATAACAAAACTACTTTACCCTAGAGGCAGCCTCAGAAGAGGTAAACTCAACATGTCCAAAACCCTTAAGAGTCCCATCTGGATGGGCAGCAAAACGAACTTGCTTCACCTCTGCAACATCCTTAAAGAAATTCTCACTGCATGTGATAAGATATCAGTAAGAAAGATGGCTAAAGTACAAGGGTCAAATGCATATATGTATTTAAAATATCAAGTCCCAAGATCAACTTTGATATAACATACATGTCAGCCTCTTGAATTGACCATGACAAATTCCCAATAAAGAGAGTTGATGATCCTTGAGGTGCGGCCTTAGGTGTGGCGGGGGTCTTGGGCTGCATTTTTAAAGCAATAAAGTTGTGCAAATCAAAGAGATAATTTGTAACAAAATTATAAATTAACCAACAATACAAAAAAACTTACAGCTTGTGTTGCGGTTTGAGGTCCACCTTTTTCACCATCCGCATAAACCATTTTCACATCTTTAGGCTGTCCAGTGCAAACGTATTAAATGATCAAGAATGTGCAAACACTATACACAGTGCTACTGTGTAAAGCACAAAAAATAGCATATTGAGCAATAAACAAAGAGGTGACACTGCAAACTCATAGTCAATTGTAAATGACTAATGAGATTTTATCGACAAGGAAACAAATTCAGAATTCAAATAATTTTCAACATTCCACGAATTCATGCAAGTTGTTGAAGTCAGTACTAACACAGACAAAGCAATTACCTTCTTTATACTCTTTGAAGGCTCATCCTCTTCTTCCTCACTGGACTCCTCTGAGGATGAATCATCAGACCTACTCTTCTTTTTTTCAACAGGCTGTATATCAAGCATAATAATGTACACAATCAAACAGCATGCAAGTGTACAGCATTTCAGTTGTCAGCTTCATGATAATCAAGCCAAGATATTACTTGTGAAGGAAAGAAAAAAACAATCCAGCATACATACCTTGATTTTCTTCTTCTGTGGCTCCTCATCTTCACTTTCATCGGAGCTGGAATCTTCACTATCATCATTTACCTTCACATCAAAATGGAAGCAAAATTTCTATTGTTAACCTTAAATGCATACTCTTAGGCTATGTCGTTGAACAAAACTTATTGACAGATAATGGAACCAAATGTCTCATAACATGATCTTCAGCTAGAGTACATGTAAACATCATCAAATCAAGCACATGGAGGGAGGTTGAAATAAAGCACCTTTTTATTTCCAGCTAGTAGGGATGCCTTTTTGGATGGAACATCCTGAACAGACAGTAACACAAGCTGAAATGATGCTGGAAGTTTAAAGAATTAACTGAAAACAAAGATATGCTCGACATCATTAGGCTATTACACGACTTACATCTTCATCAGAGCTACTACTCTCATCTGAACTGTCATTAACTTTTTTTGTAGGGGCAGATGCTTTTAAGGGGGCCTTCTTAGCAGGGGTGACATTCTCATCATCATCATCTGAACTAGTGTCTTCAGAGCTTGATTCACCTTGTGGCTTTTTTGCAGCCTCTGCTTTGGCAGGTTTGGAAAGAGCATTCTTAGCAGAGGTGTCTTCCTCATCATCGGAACTGCTATCTTCAGAGCTGGATTCACTTGTTGCCTTTTTTTCTACCCCTTTTGTTGCAGGTTTGGAAGAAGCCTTCTGCGGAGCTTTCTTAGCAGGGGTATCATCCTCATCATCTGAACTACTGTCATCAGAGCTTGATTCACTTTCAACCTTTTTTCCTGCCCCTTTTGTGGGAGGCTTGGCAGGAGCCTTCTTAGGAGTCTCATCATCAGAACTACTATCATCAGAGCTGGACTCTGTTTCACTCTTTTTTAGTGCACCTTTATTGGCACTTTTGATAGGAGCAGGTTTTGGTGCAGGCTTTACAGAAAATTAAACACAAAATGAATGAATTAGAATATTCAACTAAGAAACTGAAACCTAACATGCAGAAATTTAACATAACTGAACAAAAAACAAAAATTGTTCAAGTTATATGTATTTCTTTCATCTTTTATTGAACCATTTGCATCAACACTGACCTTCTTCATGGCGGGTTCATCATCAGAAGAAGAAGAACTGTCATCTTCAGAGCTTGACTCGCTTTTTCTAACTTTCGTTGCCCCATTTTTGGCAGGGGTATGAGTAACCTTTTTGGTAACAGGAGCCTCATCATCACTGTCATCAGAGCTGTCATCTTCAGAGCTTGATTCAGTTTTTTGAACTTTAACTAACCCATTTTTTGTTGCAACGGATGTAACTTTTTTTGTGACAGGGACATCCTCATCTGAACTACTATCAGAATCGCTCTCTTCATCTGAAGAGCTTTCAGATTTACCTTTTTTCAAAGGCAGTGACTTTTTGGGTGCAGGTTTAGTTTTAGGAGCAGGTTTCTGATCATTAAAAAAATATACAATCAGGAAAGCAATGTGTATCACACTTTGAAGTGCAGCATAAAAAAATCAAAACACATAAAAAGAAACATAGATATGAATAAAACGTGCTCAGCTTATATCTTCCTGTAGCCTTCCTTTTTAAAGAAGTGCGTACTTAGTCTAATTAAGTTCTACCTAATCAAAACAAGCTTCCTTTTAACTACGCAAATGCTTGAATTGAAAGAGTCGAGCATAAAAAATTATTCGTTTACCTTTAATTCTTCATCGGAGTCTGAAGACTCCCCCTCGGAACTACTATCCACCTTCTTCGGAATCTTAGCTTCAGCCTTCTTCTTCTCGACAGCTTGTTCTAATCCCGAAGCTTTTTTCTGCTTTTTAGCGCTTGGCTTCTCAAAAGCTTCAGCCTCTCTCTTACCTGCGAACACAAAAATATTCAAGTAATCCTAATTTATCACTACAAAGTAATTGAAACGGTTAAAAGCCAATTACGTCAACCAATGTAAAAAGATGAACTTTAAAAAAAAAAAAACCTTTCTTCATCGGCTTTGTTGGAGCAACTATGGCCGGAGCAGCATCAACCTATAATTAAGTTCAAAATAAATAATTTTATATAAAAACTACAAAGTCTTTCGGCCGATACTGATATTCTTAAACATTAAACACAAACTCTTTGCGACGATAGTTTACCTTCAGGTTTGGTTTCTTAGAAGACTTGCCCATCCTAACCGAGAAAAAACTGCGTAGCTTTGGATTTAGAAGCAGCTGTGCCGGCTGAAAACCCCTTCAGATAATTAGGGTTTATGGAGTAGAAGGTGGAAATCAAGGCGATGGATATTTATTCCACTTTTTAGGGTTGATTGCTTTGGACATAGTTTAGGCTTTAAGGTGCCCAACGTGTAACTCAAGGCCCATTCTATTTTGTGCCCCAACGAGTGGAAGCTGAAAATCAAGGGGTGACAGTGTGACACGATGGATATTTATTCCACCTTAAAAGCTTTGTTTGCAAACACTATTCACAATTTACAAATGTTTTTTAAGGGTATGTTTGATTCAAGTAATGTGAAATTTAATTTAAATTGTTAGATTACCGGATATGATAGATAGATGAGAATGTGATTAATGTATAGCCCATTGTATTTGATTATGATTAAGGGAATGTTACTATAAGTTGTTTGGTTGAATGGTATCTTATGTTGAATATTTGGTGAATTACTTGAATGCCTTTAATTATTTGTTTCTTAACACATTAAACTTATCAATTATTTATGAGCTTCATGCACAATATGGAAACGCACTCCCTCCCCAGACATGAACATCTTCACTTAAAGGAAAATTATTTTTGAAATCTACATTTGACAATTTTATAAAAAAAAAAGTAAATCAACTCTCGTTGTTGAACAAAGCTCAGTTAAGGAGCTTTCTATGTGTAACGTTTCTTGTTGATGATTATGAAAAAAATGATGACTTTGACATTCTAAAGTGATGGAATGATAAAAAAAGAATGTTCACGATTTTATCAAAGATGGCTAAGCAAGTGTTATCAATGTCGATTTCAACGGTTGCCGTGGAACAACAATTTAGTGCAGCCGATAACGTGCTAACGGATTATAGAATGAGATTGAGCCCAAACTCTCTTGAGATGCCTGTTTGCTAGAACGATTGGTTAGAGGTCCAACGTAGAACTCAAGAACTTAGCATCGCCTCCACCCAACACTTTATGGAGGAAACAACCACCGACGGTGGCGGAGATTCCGATTGATTATTATTTGTTAGAAAATGTATTTCATGTTTTAATTTTTTTTCTCAATTCTCAATTGTAGTTAATGTTTCAAATCAATATATTTTAAGTTTTTTATATGTAGCACTTCTTGAATTAATTTTTAAACATGAATTAAAAAAACAATCGTGACCCGCTCGCTACCCGGGCGGGTAGACCGGCACGAACCGGTACCGATCGATAGCCAGGCCGGTCCCGGGCTACATTCCCCAAAAGCCAAACCCGGTCGGGCCCAACCCGGAACCGGAACAGGACCGAGCACGGTCCACCCCTAGACATGTTGATTAATGAAGTATGGATTTTTTGGGAAGAAAATTAATAAGCCACCAGCAATCTTACAAAACCTAAGACATTGGTGGGTTTGACATGCCGGGTAATGTGATCACCTTTTCCACTTTTGGGAATGTAACATTCCCAAAAAAAATCAAACCCGCGAACCAAACACATTTATATCACATTCCGGGCATGAGATTTCGCCCTCTATAAGATATCACCTTGAACCAAACAATATCTTAAAGTGATTTGGAAAAAAATGCTTGATAGTAAAAGTGTTTGTGAAAAAAAGATTTTCAAAAAATAAAGAGGGTGATAGTAATTGGTAAAATAAGTACTTTTTGTGTAATAAAAAAATTAAAAAATTGATTCTAGCTTTTAGCTTTTAAGTATTAATTTAAGTAGAAGTTGACAATTAAAACACTTTTTTTAGCTTTTTTAAGTCAAAAGCTGGGAAACGCTTTTTTTAGTGTTTGCTAACAAAGCTTTATACGGAGAAGTTCATTTTTCAATTTGTATGATTGTTGAGATTTAGTCCCGTAGATCCGGAAGCCAAACATAAACTTCGGATATTAAGGACCACGAATTTGGTATAAAAGCAAATAAATATATAAAAGGGTATGAACTAGCTATTTTTACGTGGAAACCCGGAAAGGGGGAAAATCACGGGACTTTTTATGCTAACGTCCAAGCCCGCTCTTTTCATTAATATGCTCCCATCACTCATTCACATAGTACAAAAGTTGAAGCCTCCATTAATGGAGCTATGAAATAAACTATCAAAGGGGAAGAAATGGTACCGGGAGGGAGAAGCTCCTGGGAGCCCAAAAAAGAGAGCCAAAGATCCAAAATCCATCCTTTAGATGGAAGCAAGGCTTCCTATTTATAGAAAGGGGGTGGGGTTTTACTCTTATGGGCCAACGGGCCGGTTGGGCCTTAATAGACCTAATTCCTATCCTAGCGGGCCGGTTAGGCCGAAACGGACCGGGTAGGCCTAAATGGGTCTTGCTGACCGGGCTTCATACCGGGTGATGACTTGGGCCTCTCAACACTAGTAGGCCGGAATAATATTCCCCAACACAAGTCCCCCAGTTTCTTGAGTAGTGAGCCTGTGAATCTACTCGAGAAAGTATACTTTTGCTCACGTCCCTCCTTGCCTTTCCTGAATCGGCGTCTTCAAATAGTCTCGGACGTAAGGTATGCATGAGTGACAGGTGAGGTGTAGCCCCCAAACTAGGCACGACGACGTTGTAGAGCCAGCCGCTCGTGTTGCATAAAAGTGACGGTCGGCATCCTAGATTAAGGACCGACGAGCCCGATCAAAAAGAAGACACGACGGCGCTGATGAGCCAGCCGTTCGTGCTGCATAAAGCGGCGGTCGTCATCCTAGATCAAGGATGGACGAGCCCGACCGAGAGTCAGGCACGACGGTGCTGTGGAGCCCGTTCGTGCTGCATAAAAGCGGCGGTCGTCATCCTAGATCAAGGATGGACTAGTCCGACCGAGAGTCAGGCACGACAGTGCTGTGGAGCCCGTTCGTGCTGCATAAAAGCGGCGGTCGTCATCCTAGATCAAGGATGGATGAGCCCGACCGAGAGTCAGGCACGACGGTGCTGTGGAGCCTGTTCGTGCTGGATAAAAGTGGCGGTCGTCATCCTAGATCAAGGATGGACGAGCCCGACCGAGAGTCGGGCACGATGGTGCTGTGGAGCTCGTTCGTGCTGCATAAAAAACGGCGGTCGTCATCCTAGATCAAGGATGGACGGGCCCGACCGAGAGTCAGACACAACGATGTTGTGGAGCCCGTTCGTGCTGCATAAAAAATGGTCCCTCAGTGATATGGACTTACGATGCCATGGTCATTGCCATGGCCCTTACATTGCCATAGTCGAAAGGAATGGACCTAACTCAACTCTGGCAGACGTGGACCTGACTCGACTCGACTTGACCTGGACAAACATGGACTCGCCTCGACTCGACTCGACAAACATGGACTCGACTCGACTCTATAAACATGGACTCGATTCGATTCGACTCGACAAACATGGACTCGACTCGACTCGACTCGCCATCCTCCAATCCCATAGTTCCGATGATCCAGGCCACCCATACTAAAGACAGAAGGCAGTTTCTGATGATCCGGCGCAGGCTGGCGGTTCTCAGTCTCTATCTTCCCCGATCAGGGATCATCAGTAACATAATATTTTGCCCAAGTTGTATTACTCTTGATTTCTTTTGTACTTTCCGGCGAGTAGTGTTGAAGAATAAAACTCGATTCTTTCCCCAATCTTGTTATTTCATTGCTTTTTTGTATCTTCCAATCCTGAACTCTCGGTTCCTTCATATTTAGGGTTACCGAGCGTGGATCGATTTGTCCATACTTACAGTTTTGACATCATCTCCAAGCCGTTTTGATCCCTTTACCCCTTCGTAATGACAGGGTCAAATTCTGTTACCTGAGATGATGGCTCCCTCCAAGTTGTTAACCCGTTCATTATTCGGTCATCCGGAATGATTTCACGTGTTAAAAGCTGAGGTGAGACTCTCATAGTTCTGACATCCTCTCCAAGCCGTTTTGATCGGATCAAATTCCGTTAGCTGAGATGATGGCTCCCTCCAAACTGTTAACCCGTTCATCATTCAGTCATCCGGAATGATTTCATGTGTTAAAAGGTGAGGTGAGACTCTCATAGTTCTGACATCCTCTCCAAGCCGTTTTGATCGGGTCAAATTCTGTTAGCTGAGATGATGGCTCCCTCCAAACTGTTAACACATTCGTCATTCGGTCATCCGGAATGATTTGACGTGTTAAAAAAAGCTGAGGTGAGACTCCCTATCTTCCAAACCCAAAATTCCGATGTAGTTCATCCGGTTTTTTCCGATCCGAATCATCCTTATCAGGGGTTTGAGATGACCATCTTCAAACTATAAATAAGATCCCCGGATCGGATCATATCTTACCTATAGCTAAAATGGCGACTCACTTCCAAATCAAGTTAATGACTGAGGTGAGATTTTAAAACCATAGTTCCGATCCCCGGACGACAATCCATGTTACCGAACGTCGCTCAGCTCGTCCATACTTATGATTTTGACACCATCTCCAAGCCGTTTTGACCCCTTTATCCGTTCGTAAGCACAGGGTCAAATTCTATTAGATGAGATGACGACTCCCTCCAAACTGTCAACACGTTCCTCATTCGGTCATCCGGAATGAGTCTACATGTTAAAAGTTGAGATGAGACTCTCAATGTTAACGTTCAGTTCTTCTATACTAGCGGTCAAAGTGACATTCGGGGAGCCCTAAATTCCTTGTCTCTTTATATATATATATATATATATACATGGACTCTCAATGATGATCACATCGTGCCGGGGTGGCCGATTGTGAAGGTATAGAAGTTGTCAATGATGATCCGAACAATAAGTCTCCCTCCGTGGAGTATGGAGTTGTTAACCGCTGAGGTGAGACTCTCAATGATGATCACGTTGTGCCGGGGTGGCCGATCGTAATCAAGAATGTCCGGGGTCTTGCAGGCAGCCCCTGCCCGTGATATAATGGTGCTGAGGGGCCGATCGTACTTCATAAGACGGTCAGCCTCCCTCTGTAAAGGCGTGGGAGGATCTGACCGTGATCAAGGATGTCCGAGGGTCTTGCAGGCGCCCCCTGCCCATGAAGCTTGCTCTAGATGCCGAATGGTGGGGCCGGATTGCTAGTCATGGAGTTCTCTGGACTCTTTATCTCCTTTTCTGAATTCTCTATCCCCTTTTCTGAATTCTCTATCCCCTTTTCTGAATTCTCTATCCCCTTTTCTGAATTCTCTATCCCCTTTTCTGAATTCTCTATCCCCTTTTCTGAATTCTCTATCCCCTTTTCTGAATTCTCTATCTTCTTTTCTGA